ATGGCTTAATCTTTTCCTAGTTTCTCAAGACAAAAACCTGGGAGGCCTTCCATTCTTTTCTTCATTTGTCAATCCCATTCATCACTTTAGTTTCCAAAGTACATCCTCAATATATTTTTTTCCATTCTACAACTTCTTTCAGTTTCTGCAATGATCATCTTCAGGTTAAACAAGCAACATCTCTCTTCTAGATTATCTTAATGCTCTTCTGACTATTCTCTCAGCTCTCATGTTTGTCTCACTCCGATCCTTTCTCCCAACAGCAGCCCAAAATAAGTGACAAATCAGATCCTGTCACTGCTCTACTTAACACTTCCCAGTCACATTTCACTGAACTCAGGATAAAATTGACCTTCTTGCCATGGCCTTTCAGAGCATACATGATACTTTTGTATTAGTTAGGGTTCTCTAGAGGAACAGAATCAACAAAAAACTATGCAAGGTGATTTATTATGTAGGCTCAGGAGATCAGAGGTGGGAGAGTCTACAATGGCATCAGTGCACTGGAAAGTCAGGATCCAGTAGCTGCTCAACCCGAGAAGATGGAAGTCAGAACAACAGGGATGGAGGATGCAGCACCAGGCCAAGGTCAAAGGCCGAGAAATGGTTGCTGATGTGAGTCTGTGTTAGGAAGCCACAGAAACTGGACACCAATGTCCAAGTTAGTTGCAAAGACTAGGGAACTTCAAAAATGGGCACACTTTCTTCATTTTTTTCTCTCTGTGTCATTTGGGCTGCCAGCCTACGGGCTGGTGCTACCCACAACCGGGGCGAATCTTCCCACCCTCAGCTTGCTGGCCTGCGTTTCATTCATCCACAGACACACCTAGAACTGTGCTTTCCTAATCTTCTAGGCCTTTCTCAATCCATGAGATTCGATATATTACGATTGTTGCTCATAACAGTGATGGTCCTGTCTCTCGTCCACTCTCTCGCTTACTCTGCTCCAGCTACGTTGCACGTCTTTCAGTTACTTAAATTCGCTGATGTCACCCTTACTTCAGAGGTTTTACATGGCTGTTTATTCTGCTTGGAATTTTCATATTCAGGATTTTTAACTGGCTGGCTGCTTCTCAATGTGCAGATTTTCAGCTCAGATACTGTTTGCATAGAGAGGTCTTAGTCATGGCAGAAATCATTCGTTCCCTTTTTAGTCACTGCCTGTCATTTTCACTTGTTTAATTTTCTTCTTAGTACTTATCACTTACTGGGTGAAAATTTCATATGTCACATATTTAAAGAAGCAAAATAAATGGTAAATGTCCTTATTTTTAAATAATGATCACGATGGGCTATAATTAACTATAATTATAATTACTATAATTAACAGTCTTCAATGGCCCAGTGTGGTGATGCACGCCTATAATCCCAGTACTTGGGAGGCTGAGGCAGGAGGATCGTTGCGAGTTTGAGACCACCTTGGGCTATAAAATGAGCTCAAGCCCAGCCTCAACTGCATAGTGAAACCCTGTCCCAAAAAGACAAAAAACCCCCCAATCCAAAAAAATTAAAAACAATCTTCAATGTTAGTGATAGCACAGTAAAGTTGGTTCCTCGTATGTGTCACTGTTCCTTGTGGGATGGGAGACTGTGAGAATGGGTGTGGGGAGAGAGTACCATTTTCTGTCTATTCTGAGCTCTTCTGCATGGACAAAGACTTCCATCTCTGCTGTCATCAACAGCTGAGGTTCTCACCCTGCTCTCTTCTCCGGGTCATGAGGCCAGTGTCAACCACCTGGCATTCTTTTGTTCAAGGTGAGTTGTTCCTGTTGGTCCCTGGGGTTCCCTCTGCCTGTTTGTGCCCCTAGTGGGGTTAGCCAAAACCTTGTAATGCTCTCCCATACCATTCTGCACCGAAGGAGGCTGGGGGCTACTGGAGAACAGCTATTGGAATTCTCTTTCTGCCCCAAACTGCCAGCTACATTATGCTTTGCTGGGGCCATGCTTTGCTATACAAGACATTATGTGAGGCCACAAGAAATTCACCATTCTCAGATTCTTTAGCCTGTTTGGGACACTCTACTGCTATTTAACCAAAGTTTCTTTTGGAGGAATGACCAAGGAGAAGGGACTCTCCTTTAGGGACAATAACCAATAATTTTCCCTCTTTCTTTTGTCTCTCATTTTTAAAGCCCTTTCCTTCAATTCTGGAAGATCTTTGATCTCTCTGTGTGGTGAGAAAACTGACATCTCATTTATTCTACTTCCAAACTCTGTTGATGGATAAAGCTATGCCCTTTTCTTCCAGGCTTTGGCTGTGTGTGTGTGTGAGTGTGTGTGTATGTGTGCATGTGTGTGTGTGTGGTACTGGGGATCAAATCCATGAGCATCTGCCACTGAGCTACATGCTCAGCCCCTTTTTATTTTTTATTTTGAGACAGGGTCTTGCTCAGTTGCCAGATGGGAGGCTTCGTGAGTTCAAAGCCAAATGCTGAAATTAAACAAAACAAGGCAAAACAAAGTAAATCAAAGCATTTTCTCTTCAAATATCTTGATTTTCAAGACTATTGTCTCTTCTGTGAATAAAAACCAAACCAAACAAAACAAGTCTGCTTTACACTCAAAGCCGTGGGGAGAGTGCTGGTGAAAGGCGTAAGCACTGAAACCAAATACAGTTTTGTCATCTGGAAATTAAAACAATTAAGGAAGACAGCACTCTGATATATACTCATGCTTTATCCCAGAACATATTTTCCTCACCTTATTTGAACTTCTGTAGCATTCAAGTGGTTTGGGGATGACAGCCATCTTACACTGATTAAAGTACTTAATAAAATAGCACTTAGATGGCTTATAACATGTTCACGATGGGACTGTAATTCATATGCCTTGCTGCTGGGTGGCCCTGAGCTACTGGTGGTACATGCATGACTGTACCAGCTGGTGGCTTGTGCACTCAATGGGGCTGTCCCATGCTGCCTGACGTACTACTCGTGGTTCAAGCTGGCAGGAATGTGTTAAAGAAAGTAAATGATTTGCAAATTTTTAAAGTGAAAAGAGAAGGAATCCTCTTATCTTCAGAAGGGCCCAGTTTTGTGGCAGATGAAGTTCAGCTCATGTGGCAATCTGAATAGTGTATGCAGCTTCTCCTCCCTTTTCCAAGGCTGTCTCCCAAGATGGCTTGCATATTCCTGGTCTTGCATATTCCATTCCTCATGACCTTGGTCATACCATTCCCTCAGCTTGCACATTCTTCTACTTTAAAGCTCAGCCTCAGTTCCACCTCCTTTTTGATACCTTGCTTCCTCTTCCTTCCCATCAGAATGGTCTCTTCCTCTCATAGCATGTTCCTACCTCTATTTAGCATGTATTTCTTTCTGCCTTACGGTCAGTCAGGTTGATGACCTGGTTCTTTTCTGTGAGGCTGCACGCTTCTGGACAGCAGGTATGAATTTCTGTTCATCTTGGCATTTCCCACCATTCCTACTCCAGTGTTTTTACCTTATAGGTATTCAATGACTGCTTTCATTCAACAAGCACTTAAGTATCCATTATGTTCTAGGCAATGTCTGGGTCCTTACTATAGCTGGGTACACAAAGGTCTCTGCTTGTGACTAAATAGAAGCCTATTTCATGTTGTTATTTTTGGTTAAATAGGTTTGAGTTTTACTTCCACATTTCAAGAGAGGTGGTTTCTCTTTTTATTTAAAAAAAAAATAGGCACAGGACTTAAAACACATGGCTATAGTTTTGATTATATGTTATCTCCAGGCTTATTTAGATTTGTGCTCTGTTCTCACTGTTCAGAAATGGAGCCTATTTCTCTCTCCACATGAACACATAGGGGGACTTCTAGCTTGGCAGGGCTGGGAATGGCTGTGAGTTTAAAATCTGTGTTCACTCACTTCCATCTAGCTTTATTTGCTTTATCAAGCAGAATTCCTTTGGAAACATTTATTAATTGAGTACATATGTATGAAGTATCATCCGTGCACAAAAACGCTGTGACCAGTTCTCCTGAGATTTGTTTCTGCTCATAGGAGAGATGAGGACTCCTGGTCACAGCTGGTTTGCATTGGGCTGGAACTAGATTTCAGGACACTTGGCTTTTAGTCTGATTCTTTCTTTACCTCACCAGTGTTTTATTATTTCATCATGTGCTTAGTGCTCTGCTTGGTATTTTGAAATGGGATGATCATTGCAAGCCTCAGCTGCCTGTGATTATTGTTACTGTTTTTATGAATCAATGGAATTGAATAATAATAGCTAAGTAAAACTTCTATTACATGTCACGTCACACTCTTATTATCAGTATTTACTCTTAGCATAAGCTAGCAGGAAACATTACCTCTAAAGTGCTTATTAAGTTACTACTAAACTCAGCCATCCCTTGGCTATATTAACATATTAATTATAATTCTAATTAATTATAATTCTTCATTTATCACTTTCCACAAAGCTTCTGCTGTGTTCAAGGAAGTGTGGCAAGCCATACACTCTTTGCTGCCTAATGCGCATAGGAGTGAATTCAAGGGAGTGTGTACGTCTGCCCTTTGTGTTAGCAAGCAGGTACAGCTTCCCCAGTGTGACTGAGGTTTAACTCGCAAGATTATTATTCACACACTGATGGTTTAGTGCAAGTGTTCAGGGGGTGGCCTTTCCCTTGGTGGTTTGAGGTCCAGTTCTTTTCATTTTGTGGTTTTCCTGTTTCTCAGGACTTCAGAATCCTTGGTTTGCACTGGTAGATGGAAAAAAGAGAGGGTAGGAAATGTACAGGAGAATTTTATAGGTCAGGCCTAGGACTGGGATACAGCATCGCCCACAATCCATTGTCTAGAGGGCTGTCACATGTCCCTGCCTAGACACTAAGGAATAGTGAGTGTCTGGTTGATCACCTGCTGCCTATTAACAAGACCAGAAGTTTGGACTGGAGTGCAAATAAGTTTCTACCACTGTTCAGGCTAAAAAGAAAAGCCAGTGGGGTTGTCCTCCTAAGCTTTCAGCTTTCTCTTTGTTTTTCTCCATCCATGATCTTCTCTCTCTTCTTCCTGGTTCTATAGGAGTCCAGTGATCTGCCCTTCATCAAGTGCTGCTCCCAGGAAGAAAGCAGTGATTATACTGAAGTCTGAATGACAGATGAGGGTCGATCTAAGGCTTGCTGGACTTTAACTGATGAAATACACTGTTTGATACAGGTAAGAAAAATATAAAGCTCTAAAGAGAGCTTGAAGGCATGTGAAGTATTTTTTTTTTTGGGAGAACAAGAAGCATACAGTCCTTAAAATTAAACCATATGTGGGATCTGGCTATCTCTTAAAAAAAAAAAAAACTCCAAACAACTATAGGGCTCTTAAATTAGGCACATTTCTTTATTGTTTAATATAATTTGGAAATTTTCCATAAATATAGGTTGTTACAGGCTGAATTGTACCCTACTCACATGTTGAAGTTCTAACCTCTGGTACTTCAGGACATGGCTACATTTGGAAGTAGGGCCTTTAAAGAGGTGAATAAGTTAAAGAGAGGTCCGTAGGGTGAATCCTAACCCAATCTGACTGTTGTCCTTATAAGCGACGGCTGGCTGGATCCATGCACAGAGACATGGCCATGCACAGAGGCAGCAAGACAGTTTGGTACATACAAACCAAGGGGAGAGCCCTGGAACCAGTCTTTCCTTTATGGCCATCAGAGGAAACCAGTCCTGCTGGCACCTTGCTCTTGGACTTCTTCTTTGTATTTTTGTTTGTTTGAGGTAGAGTATGGCTATGTAGTTCAGGTTGGCTTTGAACTCATTATGTAGCCCAGCATGACCTTAATCTTACAGTGATCCTGCTGCCTCAGTCTTCTGAGTGCTAGGATTATAGGCATGCACCACCCTACCTGGCAGATTTTGAAGTTTTAGCCTTCAAAACTGAGAAAAAATATATTTATGTTGTCATTCAGTCTGTATGTTTTGTTATGGCAGTCCCAGAAAATTAATGATCAGTTCTATTATTTTGTATCTAGATCAAAAAATTTTAAGTATAAACGGGAGCTATGGGAAGGGTGGGGAGGCAGGCATCTTGACTGAAAGAGACCCCTGGAGTGGAGTTCAACAACTTAGAATAAGTGGCTGCTATTATTTCTTTGATTAGCCGAGGGGGTAGTCTGTTAGCTCTCCCCCACAGTGGTGGGCCTGCATTGTCAGCTCTAAACAAATTCCTCTAAAAGCTGGGCCAAAAAAAATTCATGCTTGTCTGTATTTGTGCTTTTTGGGTTGATTTATCTCAAGTTACACTGGGGAAGTGAAAGATTCCTTGAAAAATGCTTTATCATATGGAATATAAAAATTCTGGGTAAATACTAGTCAAAATTATTTTCCCCCCAAAACTATATATCAGATTCCCAGCTTCTAATACATAATGGATGAATATATTTTCTATTTTCACTTGAAGGGGCATCGAGGCCAGCAAATCAATCTAGAGCCTTGGATTTCTCTTCTCTTCCCTTCCCTTCTCTTCTCTTCTCTTCTCTTCTCTTCTCTTCTCTTCTCTTCTCTTCTCTTCTCTTCTCTTCTCTTCTCTCCTCTCCTCTCCTCTCCTCTCCCCTCGCCTCCTCTCCTCTCCTCTCCTCTCTTTTCCTCCCCTCCCCTCCCTTCCCCTTATTTCCCTTTTCTTTCTTTCTTTCTTTCTTTCTTTCTTTCTTTCTTTCTTTCTTTCTTCTTTCTTTCCATTTTTCCTTTTTTTCTTTCTTTTCTTTCTTTCTTTCTTTCTTTCTTTCTTTCTTTCTTTCTTTCTTTCTTTCTTTCTCTCTTTCTTTCTTCATTCTTTCTTTCACTAAGTAAATGAAGCCTCAGGTCTTAGTCTCCCCTTGCTTCTAAAATGCAGTGTTATGGTTTAGATCTAAATGTCCCCCTGGTTTCCTGTGTTTGAAAAGTGATTGGCTTCTGGGGGCGCTATACTCATCAAAGATCCACTGAGCAGTTCATAGCTGGATGTGCTATCAGAAGGTGGGGCTGCTTGGAGGGGTTGCTGGGGGCGTGACCTGGAAGGGTGGTTCTCATTCCCAGCTACTCCCTTGTCTCTCCACTTGTGGCTGCAGTGGAGTGAGCACTTTTCTTCACCATGCCTCTCTGCAGTCCTGTTTCTGCCTTGGAGCAGCCAACTGACTGAAACCATGAGTCAAAACAAACCTCTTATTCTTCAAACGGCAGGTGTTTGTTATTTCATGATAGGAAAGTGATAGGAAAGCTAATACAGTCACTAATGGCCAAAATAGTTTTACCTCCTGAAGTTGAGTTCAGGATGCTAAAGTGCCTTAGGGCAGGTGAATACTGGGTTGGCAAAATGTTTCTCCTTCCTTCCAGACACACCAGCGGCTCTGGGTTGTTCTCCAGGAAACAATGTTAGAGAATTCAAACCCAATCACAAATCCCCTGTGGATGGGCAGAGAAAGCAGAGCACCTGGCAGCCAGAGACAGGAAACAGGAGCAACACGGTCCTGTCAAGTTGCTTTCTCCAAAGCCTTGTTAGAATTCAATTCTCTTTATCTTAAGAAGCAGTCATGAGCTGGTTAATTTGAGATTTTTGGAAAGCAAATTATCCTTTTGGCAAAAAACAAAACCATGTGTCAACCATCTGGCTGAATCAAAGGCCTCAGAGCAGAGGAGGGAGCTTGGGCAAGGAGAGGGGTAGTGCAGTGCAGGAAAATTAGTGCTGTCTGGGTCTCTGCCACCAGATGCTTATGTGCTCTGGCTCAATTCCATAGCCAGCAGTGTTCCTCTTGACTGAGCTGACGGGACTCTTGGTGAATAGAATTAGGAGACATTGCTAGCCCCATGTACCTATCTGCAACCATTTACTTGAAAGGGTCTAGGAGAAAGACTTCATCACTGTCTGCAGTTGTACCCATGTTCAAACATTTACATAGTTGTACCACAGGGCCAGATGTTTACAGACATGTCTAATGAACTGGGGTGTGTGTGTGTGTGTGTGTGTGTGTGTGTGTGTGTGTGTGTGTGTGTGAATTTAAAGAGCTGGGCAAGGAAAGTTTGATTCTAAAGTGAGACATGAAACTGGACATGGTGGCACATGCCTACAATCCCAGCATTCTGGGGGCTGAGGCAGGAGTTTGTCAAGTTTGAGCCCCACCTGGACAAATTATTGACTTAGTGAGGCCCTGCCTGAAAAATAAAACTTTAAAAAAGGGCTGGGGATATGGCTCAGTATGAAGGCCTTGGGTTGAATCCTCAGTACTGGAAAAAAAGAAGTGAGACACTAGTGTCCGTGTACAGTGTGACAGCAGAATCTTTAACTTCTTTAGATTCAACCATCTCAGAAAAAAGGAGTTTGGCTTGTGAATTTTGAGTGCTATATTAACAAAAACTTGCTGAGGAGCTTCTTTCTTATAGTTGAAGATGGCTCAGAGAGAATATCATCCTTCTCATTTTGGAAGAAAGAATTGATCATATACTGCAGGAACAACTTTCAGCTCGATGGCAACTCCTTCATGGGATGACCATGATCACAGATGTACCTTATTAACAGATAATCTGCTGAGGACTGCAGGGAAAACTGGGAGAAGGCTAACGTGTAAAAGACAAGACAAGGCTTCTTGTCTGCAGAAAGATAGAAGTTTGGAGGCTTTGACATTTTAGTTAGATTGAAACATTCAAGTTCCACGTAGTTGGGGACACAAATTTTGAACTTGATTCCAATTCAACATTTCTCTGACCCTCAGTGAGAATTCAAAAAAAAAAAAAAACAAAAACTCTACAGATTTAACAATAGTGATAGCTATTATTTTTGAGTTTATTGATCATTCTCTATAGATTGATAAGACAGTTGTCAGTAACCTAATTTAGCATGCAGACTCTGGTGAGAAACAAATCTACCAAGATAATACAGACAGCGAGATGTGCTTAACTATGCCTGGCCCCAGAGCTTGCATCCATCCCATTATATTGCAGCATAATAGCAGGAGATATTTGATTTGAAAAATATTTAAATTAATTAATTCATTAACAAATAGGAGCTGTTTATACTTATCTTGTACAATATGTTGTTTTAAAATATGTATGTGGAATATACATATTAAAATGGAATATATATTTAAAATATAAATGTAGAATGTCTACCTCAAGCTAATGAACACATACATTACCTCACAGACACCATTGTGTTGTGGTGAGGACACATAAACTTCTATTCTTGGCAGTTTTCAAGAATGCAATGCATTGTTATTAACTGTAATCACCGTGTTATACATTAGATCTCTTATTAAACTTCTTGATCTAACTAAAAGTTTACATCCTTTGACTAATCTAGCGCTTCCCAACACCCAGCCTCTGGTAGCCATCATTCTATTCTTGTCTATAAGTTTAACTTTTTAAAGATTCTATGTATAAGTGAGATCCTGTGGTAGTTTGTCTTTCCGTACTTGGCTTCCTTCATTTAATATAATATTCTCCAGCTTTACTCATATTGCCACAAATGACAGTGCTTCCTTCTTTTTAAAATCTAAATAATATTCCACATTCTTTATCCATTCATCTGTTGATGGACGCATAGGCTGAGTTGAAATCTTGACTATTATGAGGAATGATGCAATGAATGTGGGAGAACAGATGTCTCTTTGACACATTGATTGTATTTCCCTCATACATACCCAGAAGTAAGATTTCTGGATTGTCTAATAGCTCTATTTTAATTTTTCAAGAAACTGCCATGCCATTTTCCATAACTGTCGGAGGCTGAGTAGACCCTCAGATTCCTGAAGAGGGGACAGCAAGGACTAAGGAAAGACAAAAAACAAAATATTAAGGTACAAGGGGACGAGAAGGAGACATGTCTAGCGGACAAGCTTGCCAACCTTCACAGTCCACTCACTTTTATTAGCCAGAAAGATACAGGTGGATGAGGTTATGCATCGCTTGTGACATGGTTGAAGGAGATTTTGAAAAATAAGGAGCAGGTGAAACTTCAAGAGAGGTAAATGTTAAAAGGGGAACAATCCCTTCTCCACCGCTGGATACCTATACAAGTTAATAGGGAACTAGGTTTCTCTCTGTTATCCTCAGCAGATGTTACCTCTCCCTGGGAGCACTGTGGTTAGCACCTTGCCCTCCTCTGCACCAACCCTGCCACAGTCCAGCCCCCAACATATAATGGCTATAGTTTACCTTTCCACTAATAGAATCCACATTCTAATATGTTTT